AAGATACCCAGTCAAGGATCATTCATCACGCATTCTAGTGTATTCAAATTCTTTCTAAGATTTTGGAGTTTCACAGATCTTACCTGATCCCCACCGTGATATTCGCCATATAACAGATCCCATGCCATTTTTGCTGAGTCTGCGTTTGCGATTCGAGGGAAGATCTGATCGGAGACTGGGCTTTGAATGATTCCGAGAGCTTTTGCATCTTTCATGAAGATTGCAGCCATTTTCTCATCATCGTCAGCATCAACATCTGTATCTTCATCAGTCTTAGCTTTCTTCTTCTTCGAATCGGAAACCGAAATCCCTTTTTCCACCAGATTCCATAGTCTATATGACTTGAAAATGGTAACCATTTTGATTCTCCAGAACTCGTAGTTCTCACCGGAGAAGATCGGGGTCCTCACTTCAGCACTCCTAGATCCAGCCATCGTGAGCTTGTGTGAATCCAGAAACACGTAGTTCTTAGATCACAGACAGACTCCGGCAAACTTCACCGAATCCAGAAACGGTGATGTTTGAGTTCACAGAACACGCCCAGATCTAATCGAAATCAGGCTCTGAGGCCATGTTAAGAAACGTTGATATTTTTGTCTAGTTGAATGAATTCGAAGAAGAAGGAGTGAAAAAATACAGAGTGAAAAAGATTGGAAAATGGCAGCTTCTCTCTCTCTGCAAGTCACAGAGGAGCGATTGGCATTCTATATATTTCTTCTTCTGATATGCACTCACACACTTACACAAAAACTGTGTGTAGGGGAAAATTACAGTTAGAAACAATTGGATCCTTTCTCTCACAGTACTTAGATCACAACCGCTCATCTAACATGTAATGACATAAGAAAAGAAAGACCAAATAACCACATGGCACTCATGGCCTTTTACACATAAGAACTTCACTCTTGGCATTCTTAGCACAAGTGAATACACATTTAATCTCATCTTATTTCTAATACTCAATCAGCTAGAGACTTATAATTCAACAATTAATTAACAATTCAGGCTGATCCATGTTCAAAAAAGTCTTTGATCATATTAACAACATAATCTTTAACATGACTCCAGCATTCATGATATAATATAGCGTGGAGACCATCAGGACCAGGAGCTTTTAAGCTCCCAATAGCTTTCACAGCCTAAAAAATTTCAGCCTTGTGAGGAAATTGTTTTGTTATTCTGAGATACAAGGATTTACAACACTTATGAAGTCATCCACCTTATCTCTATGACTTTGAATGGTGCTGGTGAAGCTTTGTTTGGACTTTTGAATAAATAAATGCTCCATTTCCCACCAGTTACCATGATCATCTTTAATTTTTATGATTTCATTTCTTCTTTTCCTTATAGTGGCTTCGGTATTGAAGTACCTGGTATTTCTATCCCCAAGCTGTAGCCAGTTAACCTTGGCTGTTTGAGCCCAGAGAATTTCCTCATCCCTGTACAAAGTAACGAGGGAATCATTTAATTTCCTTTCCTTTCCCAACAAATCATTCCTATTAGGATTTTTCATGCAGTTCTCCTGAGCAATTGCCAATGATATTTTTTTACAGTTCACTTTGGAACTCTTTTATCTTCTTTGTCACATTACCAAAGATATTTTTGCTCCATGCTTTTGCTTTGAATTTAAAAGAATTATCACAAGCTCTGAACATATCACAGGGATGACCCTGAAAATTGGTCAACCAACTTTCTTTAACCAAATTGGGAAAATCAGGATGATTAAGCCAAATAGCTTCAAATTTGAAATTCGTTTGGAAGTTAGCAGTCTTGTCCAAAAACGTTAGTTTAACTGGGCTATGGTCAGAGTCAAAAATAGGAAAGTTATGAACCCTATACTTAGGGCATTATACAACCACTGAGAGTTGGCCATAACTCTATCAAGCTTTTCAAATATAACAGTATTGTCCTTATGACCAGTAGTCTAAACGGAACTCCAGAAGCATTATGACTTGAGAGGCGTCCTTGATTCTGGAAGTCCACATATTGTAACATGTAGTTTGTGACTACTCTTTGACCCCCTCCTTTTTCATTTAAACTAGTAATGGCTACCGCATCTGCATGTGCATTTAGAGTAGCATAAATACCTCTTCGGTCAACAAAGGTAGCATATTGTTTGAATAGCTCGAGTTTTTCACTTGGATCATCACATATAATATCCAAAGCCTCAAGTACTCCCCTCGTTACTTCCGCATCTTCATTAGGGGCCTTTCTAGTTGTACCTCCTAGTGCCATTTGTCTTATTCTCCATCATAGAAACGCAGAGTCAAAGCAAATGCTAGACAATGTAATGCAATGTTCATCTTTTCCCATCTACTAGCCACAATTTCCTCAACATTAGAAAAATATTCTTCATGCACTCTATCTCTTGTCATTATATCTTTTAGTTCACCAAGCATGCTATCCATTTTTTCGTAAATTTCACCCATTCTTTATCCATCACCATCACAGAATTTTACCAACAAATATATGGGCTTTGTAATCTTTATGACAGAATCTACCTCATCCCAAAAACTATTACTTTGCACGAGCTCAACAACTTTGACCGCTTGGTGCGTGTGTTTACATCTTGATTTTTAACCAATCTTTCCATGCTTTGAGAACAATTGTAGTTGCTAAGGCCTCTATACGCATACTAAGTCTCTTCAACAAAATATAATGAGATGCAAACCTAGTTTTCGCAACTTTCAATAACTCCAACTTAGAATGACTCCTAAACATGGTCAAAGCATGAATATGGTTGAAATAGAACTTGACAATTGGCTTCCTTTTTTGTAAGTGATCTTAAGCCAATCAAAATTTTTTGCTAGATCTTTAAAAATGAGATTCAATGTATGAACAACACATGGAGACCAAAAGATATGTTTGTGTAGCTTTCGAATTTCTCGCCCGGAAGCAATACAATTCTTTGCATTATCGGTTACAACTTGAATGACATTGATTCCCCCCACTTGTTCAATTGCTTTAAGGAAATAATCAGCAATCTCTTTACCACTTTTTGTTACTCCTGAAAAATCATCCACATTCAAGAACATACATCCTCAACTGTTTACTGCAACAACATTAATGAGTGGATTGTGCTTCATGTTTGACCATCCAACTGACAATATGGATACCCCGTGTGTGAGCCATGTCTCTCTAACAGGTTTCAACTCATTTTCAATACCAGTTTTGCATGCATCGAGTAGAATGGTTCTACCTCTTTCATACCTAGGAGCCTTGTACCCTTTAGGTCCATTGTTTACGGCAATGACCATCTCGTGGAATTATGGATTCCTCAATATATTGAATGGTATGCCATTATTGGAAAACGCTCTAATAACCCTCATGTCAACTGCTTCTCTAGCTATAGTTAGCATTGCTTATTGAATCAGGTTTGTTGTTTCACCTTTGCCACCACCTTTGATCTTTTCCTCCTATCGTGCTTTGTTTCTCAAATTTTGAAGTAACTCAAAATTTTTCTGAACTACACCACAACGAGCAATATCTATACTTTTTCCAACTAGCAGACCTAAAGTTAAAAAAAATCAAAATAAAAAAAACAAAATAATAATAATTAATGAATAAATAATAATTTTTGTAATATAATTAGTATCTATGAGATGATAACTGATGCGAGTAGTAGAAGATTTGTATGCCTTCTTGCAGTAATTAGACCTCCATTGTTTTGTCTTACCCGATGTCTCAAAAATGATTTCACTTACTAATAGGGGTTTCACCCTTGTTTTAGCATTTTCGGGCAATGAAGCTTGTTGCGAAGTTCGCCTGGATGATTGAGGTTGATTTGGTATTTTCTCTGATTGTTCAATTTATGTGCAATCATATTCTTCATTCTCGTTAGATGAGAATGAGTTGATATCATGTTGGGGTATTTCTGGTTCCTCTATTCTTCTCTTGCCGAAGACTTTTTTTTTTTTTGAGGATTTGGTGTGGATGTTTTTTTGCAATTTAATGGTTTCTAAACAACAATTGTGCATAAATTTATACTCATATTTGTTTATTAGGTTAAATGTATTTTGTAAGACATACCTAAGGGCCTTAACCATTCGATGCATGTACCATATTTATTTTCGATGCATTTATGCAGTCATGTTCTTTGTTTTTATTTCAATGCATGTACAAACCATGTTTGTTTTTATTGCGATCCATGTACCCAACCATGTTCTTTGTTTTTATTTTGAGGCATGTACCAACCATGTTTGTTTTTATTGCGAATCATGCATGTATCCAACCATGTTACAAATCATTGCGTACAAATAATTGCTTACAAATCATCAATGCTACAAAATAAAAATGATTGCTCATAATAAGTAATACTATAAACTATAATTATAAAAGTATTATTATCAATACTTTTATACACAAACTAATTTACATTCTTTAACGAATTTAAAAGGAATCGAACTGAAAACCGTACTGTCTATGTCTACTCTCTGGTGAATGATACCTTAGGTTCTAGTGAATCCCATACTCGAATCGAACTGCGAACTCAAACCATACTCTATGTCTGGCAACTATGATTTAGATCATGGATTATTTATTTATTTATAGCATTCAAACTTTCTAAGATTTCGGTCTATATTTGGTGGTTTTGTGATTCATGGTTGTATTTCAATTTTTGAATTTTTCTTCTTTCTCGCTTTAATACTTTTCATGTGTATTCACTTGGGAAAAATACTTAAGTCTTAATGATTTTAATGCTGCAGGATATATTTTCTTCTGGAGTCATAAAATCTGCAACAATATCTAAGTATACAAGCAGGTTGCTGGCCTTTCAGGGCTTGACCTTGCTTACAAAGACAACGCTGCAATATACCATACAAAGGTTTTTTTTTTACCCTTTTGCCCTTTTTTATATACTGTTACGTTTATTTTTTTGCTCTCTTGACAAGTGCACAGAAAATGCAATATTTAATGAAAAGACGTATGAATATGATACATGTATAACAAGGGTGGGCATAATGGATTGTATAGTACATTGCATAGCTTTAACATGTGATTGCATTTTCATGATGTAGTTTAGATTTCTGTTCCATATTAATTTCATATTTCATATTAAAGAATGTGGACTTAATTAAAATAGGAGAAAATCATATAGAGCTCTAGCGGTTCTGATGATGGTGTTTTGGATGTTCGAGGAGATTTGATTCAAATTTATGGATTTGGGTAAGAAACTAAGAACCCCTAATCTTTGCTTTCAGTTTTAAGAGCTAAAATTGACATGCATGTGCTTCTCTTTGTGAGATATAAGAGATTGAGAAATTTTTTGTTTACTGTTCTGGGGTGGGAGGGTACTGTCAGATACAACGGATTGAGGAATTTTAATCAATTTGATAAATTAAAAATTGAGAGTTGGCAATCTACACCAAAAATTGGTAAATTGGCTAATAGGTTTTCAATTCCATGTTATTATTTTCTAAGAAAGACTTGTGGTTTCTTAGTCGTTTGACATAATTTCGTTTATTTTTTATTTTTTAGTTTTTCCTGTAGCGAAAGGATTGTTTTGTTGCAAGGAGCAATGCTGTCCTACAATCTGTTTAGGGCTTGGACCTAGTTCTTTCAAGTTTGGGTGCTGTGAGTTTTAATTCCAGAAGCAAAGTACCCTTAATTGGCTGCGTTTGGACTCTCAAGCTGTATATTGCCCTGTTACTGTTCACGAATATTCGGATAAGCGTTCTAATTTCATAGGGATAGCTGTTAGGCAGCATCTTCAATGTTTATGGTGGAAAATGGAATCTGCAACCGATAAGGCCAAGTATAGACACTGGTACCATGTTTGGTTGGTTTATTCTGCTTTTTTGTTCTTCTGAATTCTTCTCTTCTCTGAACTTATGAAAGAATTCCTGATGATGTCACAATGTTTTACACTAAACTCGGAGTGCCAATAAAGACCACCGTACAGCTACTGTCTTGGAGGAGGCACTAAACGGCGTGGTCACTACCCGTCCACTTCCATTGGGGCAGAAAAAGGTAAGTTATAATTTTTTGGCCTGGTTTATTCTTTTAATTATAGTATTCTATATATTCATTTATTTCCTGTCTTTTAACAGGTTGAAAAGCAATGTGATCACTTCTATTCCTTTACAATAACCGAAGCGGAAGCAAGAGGTGAATTTGTCTGCCAAGGGCAGTCGCTTGCAAAGGCAAGTTCAAGGTTAACTCTTAGCTCTCTTCGTACACGGTTTAACTGGAAAGTAACTATTTATGTATGTTCTGCTCTTTTAACTTATCAAGTCATGTGGATGAAATTGTCTTTTTGCAGCTATAATACTTTGATCAGGAAGAGGTTGGTGGATTGAGCCTTTGCCTACAGGTACCAAGACTTTTCATCTTTAATTGTTTGGTTATGAATTATTAGTGTAGTCAGGCATTACAATAAGCTCATTCCTATGACTGGAATATAGATACAGAGCTAGGTGGTTGATATGATGAATTGAAGAGCGGGAAATATAAGCTCATTTCTTATCCTATAAGATTATGGTCTTCCTTTTAGTTACTGGTCTTTCTTTTAGTTAATGTTTCATGGTGGTTGTGTTTGATTTGGGTCTAACATCAGTAAGTTCATTCTCTTAAATTCATATGATAGAGGCTTCCTGGGTTTGTAAGATGGTTTTATCAAGTCTTCATCCATACAGGTAATAGGTCATCTATCACAGGGGCATATCCTTACAGGTAATGCATTTAAACTTATAACTTAACGTCAATTTCTTTTTCTTTGTGTCTGCATTTCACAGGGGCAACGAGGATGGGAGTTGAAGTCGAACGCATCCATGACACAGATTCGAAGGTTATTCAGTAAGTCACTGATTACGTCAGATAAAACTGCCTTCATTTCTTTTTGTGTCCATGGTCTAATTTTACTTGGGTGATTTAATTCTATGTGATGATTTCTTCTAGGTTTTTTCCATTTTATATTTTAAATACGTTTAAGGTTTGAGGGAGTCAACGATGAAATTTTGGATGCCGAAAAGAAGAAGACTGGTATTATTTCTTCTTTCTTTTTGAGTGAGAATTTCTTTCTTTTCTATTGATTTTGCTTCTTTCTTTTTGTTGTCAAATGTTTCAAAATTCGACTCGCATGTTCATGTACATTGTTGAGGAGTGTATTTTGCCATTACTATGCCATTATTCTGTCTTTTCAATAATTGTTTCTTAATTTTTCTTCGTAGTCTTTTTCGCAGGACCTTATAAGCATAGCAAAGCTTTTTGAAACAAATTTTTATAATGTGTTGCGAAATGGATGATGCAATAAAAAAAGAAATACGTTGTGGGTATCTTTACACGCTATAATAGGTTTTCTTTTTGGCAAGTTTGCTTTCTCATTTGCATTTATGGTGCCGTTATCATTTACATTTGCTTCTGCATGATTTCTCATAAATTGGATATCATTGTATTTATTGTATTTTAACTTTTTTAGCCAAGAAACTGATTTCATTCAACAACAGATTCATCAATTACAGGCTGCAAGTGTAAGATGGTGAAGGCATCGCCAGTGCCTTCAAATGATCGCTTCATTTTATTTATTTTTTGGTTTTTGACAGATTACATTAGATTTTATTATTGTTTATTTGACGAAGTTCTCGATTAAGAGCAACTACACTTGCATTATTCTTCGGGACTAGCAACTGTGATGGTATAGTGGCAGATTTTCTGATTTACGTCCGAATTTGAGCAGTTTATTGGATCATATAGGAAAGATGAAAAGGGAATATAAGATGATGTCGAAGAAAGCCTTGCAAAGAGGCTGCCTGCTTAATTTAGGTACTACAACTCCAGTTATTATTTAGGTGAGGTGTTTTGTTTGTAGAAAATCTTTGAGTCTCGAATAGTTTAAGCGTTGCGTCGACAACTTCAGATGGTTATGAAGCAGCGTATAGTGTTCATACCATTTACTTTACACGGGTACATATTTATGCCAAAGATAAGTCAACACCCTTGGAGCCTCATATTCTTTGTTAGAATTTCTGTTACAAAATTAGGGAGGAATCATATCCATTTATGCTTCTATTTAGTGAGATTGTGGGTTGTTTTTGGACTGCATTCATTTCTTGCAAGACTGCATTAAGAAGCATTTTTTCAGTCGCACATTATAGCAGCGCTTCGTTTTGATTTGTAAACAAACTATATGTTTTGTCTTGGGTTACAGTATAACGTTTGACGATTGAATTTGTGAGATGGTTTAACAATTTTTTCGCAAGCTTGCTATTCCTGCAGAATGCTAAATTATTGAGTCTTCTACTTTTGTGTTTTCCTTTTCTGTGTTTTTCCTTCATGGAATGGGCTGATTACTTGAAACTATGAGTATGATATTGATGGCGCAATACAATCTGCAAATGAATATTTCTTTCATTGGTTCTTGGGTACTGTACCATCATTTTAGTTACTCTATGTAGAAACTATTCATTCTTGTTTCGACTAATACATTCAATCCGCGTAGCTAAGCTTGGGCACATTTTCTAGTCCTACCTAAACAAAGCTTTCTAATAAATCTAGAAATCTAAGTAAAATAATAAAATAATAAATAAAAAGTTTCCTATTTAAACTGAAATTCGGACTGCAAGTAGAATAAGACTTCTGACCAACCAAATCAACTCTGATTTGGTCCCAAAATGTCACTTTTTAAAGCTTAAGACATCTCCAACAAATCTTCAAAAGGAACTTTCCTCAAACAATGTCTTCTTGACCTTCAAAATACCAAAAATGTCAATCTAGAAAGTTGCACGCTGGGCCTTCTTTTCTTCACGACGGTCAAACGGCTTGGTAGAAAAATATGGAATTTTGGCACAATTATGTTGAAAGACTCACGAATCTATTCCAATTAAAATTACTCCAAAATTCTTTCGTTTAACTACTTTTGGCTCAAAGTAGATTCGCATGTCCTACAATTGGAATATATAACAAAGTATCCAAATTTAGCAAAAATAACTAATAAATTAATATTAAGAATAGGAAAAATATATAGTATAATATTGACTCATCAAGCCATTCAACAAAGAACATAAACTTTTATTTCTCCAACAAAAACCACTAATGACATGCCCAACCCTGATATTCTCCCAAACACCAGGGTAAACACGTGCTGGCCGACAACCGAAGGTGACGAAGCCATATTAGAATGCATGAGAACAAGAAATAAATAAGACTTTTAAATTTAAATATAATTAATATGCAAATGAGGAACGTGTTCAGAGCATACAACTAATTCTATACACTAGAAAAGAAATGATATAAAATTGAATGAACAAAGGAGTGGGTCCTACACTGAGAAGACTCGAAGATGCCAATGCGGAAGTGCCTTGACACCGGGATCGTACGCCTCGATTCTAAGTCCTAAAGGGGCGCAAAACAAACATGAGTGGGCCAAGTTGAAATAAATATAATATTGAAACAGTTATCAACATACTAACCCCCAAATTTTTATGAAAACATCAATAGCATAATATGTAATAGGTTTCCGAAACCCTAGCATGCCATAAAACTTCTCATAAAACATATCTCATATATAGTGGGCTAACTAGTGGTATCCAGTAAAGATATCTCCCGGCGCAATGCTAGCTCCATGTCTCTACGCCCGTAGCAGAGATTATTTCACACGGCCCAATACCAACTCCATGTTTCTCGGCCCGAAGCCAAAGATTATTTATCCTGACCCGTAGCCAACAACCATAATCCTTGCCCGTGGCGGTATAGTGACCACTAGATAAGCACAAAACTATTGAACATAGACTTTCCAAACATAGGTATATATATCTCAAAAACATCTTCATAGTATAAAGCCATCCATCATCTATACTATAAAGAAGTGTGCATAAGTATATTCATAAGCAATATAAAGTCATCCATCATCTATACTACAAAGAACATGAGTTCGACAAAATATGGTAATTCAAAATATTCTCAGTAAGCATAATATCTCATAAAACGTAATCATTAAATCATGCTTTTCATGTATGCAATTCTAATATTCAAACATGCATTTTGAAGGGGTCCACTCACAGATAATTCACCGCCGAAGAGCCGCGCAAACTAGCGAAAACGGAAACGTCATAAATAATTGCCCTAAGCACATAAAGGGTCCAATTGATAAAACTCTATTCAAATTATTGAATTTGGGAAAACGGACGTCAAAAACGGATCCAGGACATCGAATTACCCTAAGAAGGGTCCCGGGTAAATTTCGAAAAAATTAACAAAAAGTCAACACTAAGAATATTCCATCCGGGTTGGGTTTGTGGGTTTGGGCCGAAGGGTCCTAGGCCCAAAGGCCTGGTTTCAAAGGGTCAGGGGTTTGGGTTCAATGGGTTAGGTTGGTGACGGGTTTGGGCCTAGGTGCATGGCCCAAGGGCCTAGTTAGACTAGGGTTTTGGGCTTGAAAGCCCGATTATTGAATTGGGTCCTTTGGTTTAAAAGGCTAAGGGATTGGGCTGCCCAAATGGGATGGTTAAAAAGGGTTTTGGGTCTAAGGTTTGTGGGTCACCGGACCCAAGGAAGAAGAAAGCCGGAAATCGGCCAGAGAATTCCCGTGCTTCGACGGAGTTCAAAACTTAGTCAAAACAATTAAACTAAAATACCAAAATGAAGCCCGTGAAGCAAGGAGTCGAAATATACCTTCCTCGTGGCCAGTCGTGATCGGAATATGATCGGAAAACGTTTGTAAGTCCCGGCACCTCGCCAAAAAACTAGGAATATAGTCTATCGAGGTGTTTCTTCATATTTTGACGTCCAAAACACAACAACGTGGTCAAAAAAGAACTATAGGGATGAAAAGAGAAGCATTTGGAGTGTTTTGAGGCTTACCCAAATCGGAAAAGTTACAAAATCATTCGAAGTCGCGTCGGGGAACTTTGTTCTCATCGAAGCTTGGAGTTAGAGTCTCACGGCTCGATTTTTCCTACATAACAGGGCTCGGGTTCGAGCTCGTGAGGTCTAGAGGGTGAAATTGGTGGTTTCTCAGGTGGTGCTTTCCCACATGGCACTTTTCGATGCTTGCTGAGAAAGAAGGGAGAGAAGTGAAAGTGAGAGATAAAGTGAGAGGGATAGTGAGACTCACAGGAGAGAAGAAAGAGAGAGAGAGAGAAGGGAGTGGGCCGGGGACAAACTCCAAAGGTAGGCCCCTTGGGCACACCTATTAAGGCCCTCAAAAACAATATTTTAAACCAATATCCCAACCCAACATGAAATTAGAACATTACCATTTCGTTCCGTAAAAAATCTAGGACGGGTTGTTACAACGAATCATTACAATTCTAAAAAGAACCACACTAATTAACAATTCGAAAGCTTCAAGTCATATAAGCAAAATAAACCATAAACGTCCACAAGACAAAATTCAAAATGATAGCAGGAAAAAGAAAGCAAAAAAAGGAAGAAAACTTTCGTGAGTACAGAGTGGAAAATATTATTGACGAGTGATCATGCCCTTTCTCCTTTGAGCAGCATGCTTTGTCCTTCTCAAGTCTTCTTAAGCCTAGAGGTATGAATCTCTAATTTTGCTCATTTTTCTAACAACCACGTCCATCAGCATCCGTTCCCTTGGTGACATTACAGAGCAAGAAAGTCCTATATGCATCACTGAAGCCAAGCATTCCTTTAATTTCTTTGCTTTCACCTGGCCACGATTGTTACATCTGAATGGAGCTTGATCTCGTACTATGTCATGGTTAACATCACTATCTGCTTCGAGGTCGAGGACAATTGAAGGGTCAACAACGTCCATGACATGGTCAGGCAAAGCCATGGCTACGAATTGGTAAATGGTTAGTTCGCCTTTGAAAATGTCATCGATTGGTCTTTTTCCTGTGAAAATTTCTAGTAATAGTATCCCATAGCTGTAGACATCTCCCAGTGTGGAAACTTGGCCTCCCATGCCATACTCTGCCAGGATATACATACAATAAGATGTTGTATGCAAATGATGATTAAGACAATATCTTCTTCAGATTTTTATGTTACTTTTCTTCTAAGAAAAAAAGGCAGTAATGTGTGTGTGTGTATATATATATATTTCATAAATAGAGATTAATTAATTGGATTTTAGTAATAATTTACTAAGAACATAAAAAGAAAGTTAGAATGATAGAAACTCATACCTGGAGGAATGTAGCCTATAGAACCCTTTAGCTGAGATGACATGGTTTGACTGAAGGCAGGATCATTTGGTGGTTCGAAGAGAAACCTTGCTAAACCAAAATCCCCAACATGGGCCACCATATCTTCATCAAGAAGTACGTTACTCGACTTCAAATCGCAATGAACAATGGCTGTTTCACAATGGTGATGGAGATAATCTAATGCAGAAGCTACACCAATGGCAATATCCAATCTTTGGATAAAGCTCAATCTCTTACTTAGAGATTGGTCATCTTCCCTTGGATACAACCATGAGTCAAGACTTCCATTTGCCATGAACTCGAAAACTAGACTTTTGAAGTCTTTACCCTGATTATCAATGCTCGAGCATGCAGTTATGATCTTGAGAAGATTACGATGCCTTATACTCCTTAAAGCTTTGCATTCATCTATGAAACTCTTGGAAGCTCCTTGTTGTTGAAGGTTTAATACCTTAACAGCAACTATCGTTCCATCACTAGGAATTACCCCTTTATAAACATAACCAAAACTTCCCGAACCAATAATATTATCCACAGAGAACCCGTTAGTTGATTCAGCGAGTTGTGAGTAGGAGACACCTGATTTCCAATCCTTATAAGAACACGAAGTGAAAAGTCTATATCTTGACTTTTTCAACATTGAACAAGCACCAAAGAAGCATGATAGAGCAATTATGAATGCAAGTGCACAGGATATAGGGATGATTACTTTATGTAGTCCTCGAGATGAATGGTGCTTTCTTGGGGGGCATGGAGGTAGATATAATTGCGGGATGCCACCACAGAGCCTATGATTTCCAAGGACAGAGACACCACTAACATTTGCAAAAATACCTTCTTTAGGCAACTCGCCCTCGAAATCATTATACGAAATATTGAAATACTTGAGAGCACCAAGCTTGCCTATGAATTCAGGAATCTGCCCGGACAAGTTGTTGCTTGAAATATCAAGTTTTTCCAAGCCTTTTAAATCTTTAAGAGTTTGAGGAATTGTTCCTTCAAACTTATTACCTTGCAAGTACAAGTGCTCCAAACTAGTACAACTGCCGAGGGAGTTCGGGATTGCACCTGACAAATTGTTTCTTAATACATTTAGCTTCGTGAGATGCACTAAATCACCCACCTCGAAGGGCAGCAGACCAATCAAATAGTTGTTAGATAGGTCTAAAGAAATTGAAAGGGTTGAAAGCTCCATAAGCATTTTAGGTATGGTGCCCGTAAGGTTGTTACTTGAAAGGTTAAGATCTAATAGGTTTTGGCAGTTTCCAAGACTTGGAGGTATACTGCCCTCAAACCTATTTAACTCCATGTAGAGGTTTAACAATGAAGTCAAGTTACCAAGGGAAGACGGCATTGACCCAGAAAATTTGTTATTATCCAAATACAGTTGCTCTAACTTCCCTAGCTTCCCAATTTCATGAGGGACACTACCACCCAAATGGTTATCTTCTACTGATAGAGTGGTCAAGTTTATAAGGTTTCCAATTCCGCAAGGGAGCTTTCCATGAATAAAATTTCCCCCTAAACTAAGATAACTGAGTTGGGTCGAAAGGTTGGCTATGGATCCAGGAATTCCTCCTCCAAAATTATTATTGAGCAGACCCAAAATCTTCAAACTAGTGCAATTAGCCAAGAAACTGAGAAAAGTCAAACCACCGGTTTTTCCATTTCCCAGTCGATTGACTTCAAAGTTTAGAACAAATAAGCTCCGCAAATTTCCTAGGCTTTCACCAGGGACTGTTCCAGAGAAGGCATTTTGAGAAAGATCGAGCGCCTGAAGTCTAGAAGCATTTGACAATGATATAGGAATATTTCCTCTAAATTTGTTCCCACCGTAGTAAAGGTGTACGAGATTAGGAAGCATAGTGCCAAGATTTGGTGGTAGCTCTCCATGCAACTGGTTTCCAACAACACTGAAAACATTTATGGAGGAAATATTGTAGATTGAAGAAGGGACCATACCAAATAGATTATTCAGCTCAACTACGAACTCCTCCAAGCCTGTTATATGCCCCAGCTCATTGGGTATTCTTCCTTGAAAATTGTTGTTGCCAAGATAAAGACTGCTCAACAAAGAAAAGTTTCCTATCCAAGGTGGGATGGTTCCAGTGAGATTGTTACCATAAAGTGATAGATCTTTTAAATTCAACAATGAACTGAGTTGGTTCGGAATGGACCCCTTAATCTGATTGCTTTCCAGATTAAGCAATCTTAAGTGTGTGCATTGCGACAAATTAGTTGGAATTTTCCCACGGAAGGAATTATGAGAAAGGTTGAGATATTGTAGGCTTTGTAGACGACCCATTTCTGGAGGAATTTCCCCATGAAAGTTGTTGCCTATCAAATTGATTCCAATAAGATAAGTAAGATTTCCAACGGAAGGTGGAATAGAGCCAACCAACTTTTGAGATTTCAGGTTCAATATCAAGACTCTTTTGGTGGAACGCTGGCAAGAAACCCCAACCCAACTGCAGAAATGGATGGAATGATTCCACGAGCTCATGACATCGAAAGGATCTGCGGTTATTCTTTTCTTGAAATCTAGTAGAGCCAAGCGATCAGATTCATTTCCAAGCAAAGTAAGATTGCGAAGTGCTGCAGATTCGAGGCATGTGATGATGCATAAAAGAATGAACCCATGTAGGAGCATGAACAAAACCCGTCTACGATTGGTACATGAATGCTCCATCATTATTCTAAGACAAAGAGCAAAACAGGTTAACTAAGTCTAATTTGCACAAATGCATAAAATTAAGAGAAGAAATGCTATCACATAGAAGAAAAACTTGATTCAATATGTTTACAAAAAATGAGATGGCAACTATAAGGACCAAAAATAATTGAGCTCCGTCCTGCCGTACATCTTACAAGGAATGGAGGAGATTTTTCAAATGGGAGGGGAACCTTGTCAATTCTTAATAAATCTCCTGGCCACACAAGAATCTGATTGATGTGATCACACACCAATAACATTTAGAAGGAAAAGTTTATAGGAAATTTGGATTATTAACTAGAGAGCTTTGGACAGTTTTAAGTCTCACTTCCATTGGCTTCTACTTTTACCCAATTCATGAACAACTTCTAATTTTGTACTACTTGGTAAAGTAAAAAAATAAATAAAAAATCTTGGAAGAAAAAATGCTTTGATCTAAAAAATGCTACCTCTCCATGTTGAGAGCATAAATCTGACATTGAGAAAATAAGGAATTTGCATATGCTTATAAGTAATTGGGCTACTTTTTATATTGTCAATTAATTTTACAGTGGAACCTGAACTTTCTTCATGGTATTAGACCAAATTATCTCATGCACATGTGAAGCCTAATGACTACACGTGCCACATGTCAACCAATTTGTGTTGTATACGTGTTAGATTTGAATTAGTCACATGTGAAGGGACGTGTTGAGAGTATGAATCCGACATCGGGAAAATAATAAATCTTGCATGTACTTCTAAGTAATTGAGCTATTCTCTATATTATCAATCAGTTTTATGGTGAAACCTCAACTTTCTTTACTCCACCCTAACTAATCTAATTCCTAGTTTCATAAGTTATTGAATGACGGATTGTAACGTGAAATGCACATATTTTCTGATTTCATATAAACAATTTAGCTTCATCGCAATCAACTGGTGGAGCTATATAATCGATATCTCATAATACATTACAAGGTTAAAAAGTCAGAAAGTAATACGTATTAAACAGTTTTCCAAAATTATAGTTTGAACATGTCTGCACAAGAACAAAACACATACGAAGGACAAAATTTCTTTCCATTTGGCTTTCACCACAATTAGGATTTGAAAAAGGGTTTGCTAGCCACACAAGCGAGTCGAGTTCACACCTCGCTAACCACGTCTATTTTTTCAAATGATAGCACTAATGCTTCTTGTGGGTCCCCTCATTAACTGATTTTAAAAAAAGAAAGGGACATTTGGATCTGGGTCTAAAAAATCAAAATTCTATTAGATTATGTCTAATATTACCTTTTCTCTATTTCTATTTTTAGTTTTATTTTTTTTTAAATATTATAGATAGATTAAAATCTTCTAATTTCATGCATCTTCTAATTCTAAGAAATATACTTAATTTATTCTAACAAAAAAAAATTATACACTAAGACAAACTCATATGCAGAACATACGACCAAACTCAAGTAACGAATACATGAATTTGTGATACGGGTTAATCATAAAAAAGAATTTGTGATATAAGTAGATAAATTCAATTAACCTGTTGTGGATTATAAAAAAAAATAAGAACAAATAATTAAAGAGATAATGAGAAGAAAAAAAATTATAACAAATTTTATCATTAAATAGAGAATTCTTAAAATAATCATAAAATGAAGGGATTGAACTATTTCTAATATTAACTTAAAAATTAAATTATATCAAGTTTTCCTATATGGTAATATCCACTTGATTTGGGGACTTTATTTTCTCAGAAAGAAACATATTTTATTTAATTACTTGCAAAAAAGATTTATAAGATTCATGTAAAGTTGAAACTTAATGCATGGCATCATGGAAATCGTTCCAACAATATCATGAAGGAGCACTCAAGCTATCTTCAGAAGTTCTTTCCAATCATACTTACAAAAGCAAAATATGAAACAGACAAAACAAGAACAAAACAACCAGTGGTCACCTTTTTGTTTTCGTAACCTTCGGCCGCTACAGGAACGTTTCTGGGTGTCTACTCTGTCACTTATCACTTAGTCTCCGTGCAGTTACAATAAAGAGGGGGTGTGTGTGGACTGTGGACTGTTAACTGGAAAGGGAAGCAAAAGAATACGCAGATAGAGAGAGAGAGATGGGTTTTAAATCTGAGGGCAGAGTAAGGAGAGGAAGCAAAAGCAAGAGTGGTAATCAATGGTAATTAGTGGAGAGAAAAATGTCATTGTTGGGGTCCAATACAATCACCCATTTTCTCTTAATTCTACTGGCGGAAAGTAATAATGTTTATGTATCATGATGCGGGTTTCATCCCTACTGATCCCCTTCTTCCTCTGACATTTAACAATTTAACTCACTAACGCTATCCTATGTCTCAAAAAAACAAAAACAAAAATTATACTAACAATATATGTACACACTAAAAGGAAGGGAATAAATTGGTTATGAACTCATCACACTTAAAATTCGAACCTAAGACTGCTTGTAAGAGAAATATTACTAATATCACTAATAAGTGGCAAACATTTTTTCCTTACCGCCATGTCTTATATTTAAGAAATCAGACCAACATAGTACACAACTTATGAGGTCTAGAGTGATTATTAGTGGAGGTAAAATTGACATTATTTGGTACTACTACACTAATTGCACTCACTTTTTCTCCGCTACTGCTTCTAGTCCTTTTAAAATACAAAATCATTCTTTTCAGTTTACCTTAAGAGTTATATAATAATTAGATAATTCAATCATCAAACGAGTGTGTGTGTATATTTATGTAGAAAAATGGCACATAGTTAAAGTCCACTAACTATCCATTAAATTCATGTTCATGCTTCAATGGAGTTTTTTTTTTTTTTTCTCTGGCCAAACTATTGTAATACTTGAGGTAGGGGCAAGTGGAAAACTCGTGGCATTTGAGATAAGGTAACACCTTGGAATTATGAGATTGGTTTATGGATTGACTTGTTGACTAGAAGTCTTCCCTGCACATTGTGGAAGAAAGCAGATGACAACGGGTCACATTCGCAGCCCACTAGATTTTGGAATTTGAAAAATAAGAAAAGGAATAAGAGTGCTGCCTGCCAACAAAGAGAAGCACTTAAAATTTGGAATAGAAAATGTCACTATGTATATTATCTAAAATAATAAGATTTTTTTTTTAAATGTCATACAAATACACCTTTTTTAAATTTGTCATATGAACTAAAATTTCAAATGATTTGTCATGTTAAGTTTTGAAAATCATTAATTTGTCATCTCATCCTAACTTCGTAAGGTTTTCCATCCAAGGTTACTTTGGATATTTCAAAGTTATTTCGGATATTTCAACTACCCACCCGATCCCCTTCAAGATTATTTTGGACATTTTAAGGTTATTTCTGACATTTCAATGCTTTGTTTTAATGGACATTATTTATTTACACTAGGATGTACAATAAATAATAATTTTGTGTATTTTAATTTTAGGTAAATTTTTCTTGTGGATTGTGGATTTGCAAATCATCACCAATTTTTAGATAAGTTTCGAGGTGTTCGATATCATCTACAAGATTTTGCTAGTAATGATCGTGACCCCATAAATGCCAATGGGTTGTTCAACCTTCGATGTAGTGGAGAGGATATTTGGTGTATTTAAATCTCGATTCACAATTTTTAAGTCTGCGCCTCCATTTCCAACTAAAACACAAGCAGAGTTAGTGTTAGCTTGTGGAGGGTTGCACAACTTTCTTCGCAAGGAGTGTCGTTCTAATGAATTTCCAATTGAACAAGAAGATGATGAAACTGAAGATGAAGAAAATGATGATGAACTAGGTAATCAAACGCAAGAGCAACAACGTCAGATTTCTAATGCATGGAGAGCTAGTATAGCTACAAATATGTGGACATATGCTATGAGTGATAGCATTCAAAGATGAGAAATAGAGAATTAATTGTTTTTACGGATTGGAGTATGCAATTTTTCACGCACTTTATACCAAAATGAAGCTCTTAACTTGTAGAACACAATCATACTAATTTAAAGTTCTAAAAGTCACGGGATCTCGCTGGAGAATTCCAAGAACAACCGGCCAAACTTCGTCCACACGATCCCGACGTCCAAAACCTTCAAACGAAGCACTCCGAGCTTCCTTAGGACCTCACTAAGCTTCCTACAAGCTTCAAATTCCAAAAAAACATCCATAATTACGTGTGCACGAACAGTGCACAACTCGAGGGTTATGAAAACTAGGGTTTTCGAAGGTATCCTTACCTGAAATGGGTACCAATCGACTCGTCTGAGCTTCACGAACACAATGGTGCCAACTTTGACCACGATCTGTGAAGTTTCAAGGGTTTTGGGTGATTGTCCGTACGAGTTCGAAGGAGAGAGAGTGAAACCGAGAGAGAGTACGGGAGTGAGAGAGAGAAGGTGATGTGGATGTGTGTATGTGGTCTAGGATTGGTCAACAACCCAAAATACATAATTACTTAATCCTAATTGGTCCCAAACAATTAGGATTTAAGAATAGTGATCCATACACAACACTTAAACCACATCACACAATTTAACGTCTATGGGTATTTCCGTCATTTCACATCATCAAGAATAAAATAATATACATCTCGGGGACGGGCTGTGACAATCTCCCCATCTTATAAAATTTCGGCCTCGAAATTACATACAACCACTACATCCACTAATAATCATAAAACAAGCGTGGATACATCTCTCTCATCCGATCCTCTGTCTCCCAAGTAGCTTCTTCCACTAAATGATTTCTCCATAAAACTTTCACCAAGCGTACTGTCTTGTTCCTTAGTTCCTTATCCTTCCAATCCAACAGAGTCACTGGTTCCTCATCATAAGTCAAATCCGGATTAATTTCCAAAGGTTGAAGAGGAATCACATGTGAAGGATCTGAAACATAATGTCGAAGCATCGAAACATGAAATACATCGTGCACCTTGGATAACTCTGGAGGCAACTCAAGCCTGTAAGCAACCTCACCGACTCGCTCGATGATCATATATGGTCCAATGTACCTAGGACTCAACTTTCCTTTCTTTCCAAATCGTACAACACCTTTCCAAGGTGATAGCATCAGAAATACCCAATCACCTACATCATACTTCCGATCAGTGGCATGCTTGTCTGCTAAGCTCTTTTGTCGATCTTGGGCCGCTTTCAGGTTAGACTTAATTACCTGAACATTTTGAGTAGTCACATCCACAATCTTAGGGCCCACTAAAACTCTTTCGCCAACCTCCGACCAACATAGAGGCGTACGACAAGATTTCCCATAAAGTGCCTCAAATGGTGTCATACCAATGCTCGAATGATAACTGTTGTTGTAGGCGAACTCCATCAAATCCAAACAATCATGCCAACTATCTCCAAACTGTAGCACTGAAGATCTCAACATATCCTCTAATGTCTGAATAGTTCTCTCAGATTGTCCATCTGTCTGAGGGTGATATGTCGGGCTATAAAGCAATCTCGTACCAAGAGCTTCCTGGAATGCTATCCAGAACTTGGAAGTAAATCTGGGATCCCGATCCGAAGTAATATTAACTGGCACACCATGATACTTCACAATCTGTGATATAAATAACTTAGCTAATCGGCTTAATGAATACTTCTCCCTCACTAGAATAAAATGCGCTGACTTCGTAAGCCGATCAACTACCACCTAAATGTCGTCATAACCATTCTGTGTGCGAGGAAGCTTGTACACAAAATCCATAGTAATATTTTCCCATTTCCACTGTGGAACGGGAAGTGGCTGCATCAACCCAAACGGCTTCTTCCTTTCAGCTTTAACTTGTTGGCAAATGGCACACCTACTCACATATTCCACAATTTCTCTTTTCATACCTGGCCAATAATAAAATGGTCTAATGGTATGATACATCTTAGTGCCCCCTGGATGGATCGCATATGCCGAAATATGTGCTTCATCCAAAATTTCTTTCTTTAACTCTGCATTGTTCGGCATATACATCCTGCTTTCCTGCATAAGCATGCTATCCGTTTCTCAAATCCCAAAATCTTTCTTTTTGCCTTGGTGCCTTGCTTGAATTATTTCCTGTGTCTCCTCATCATTCATCTGAGCCTCAAGCACACGATCAATTAAAACTGGCCTAACCTGAAAATTAGCAAGCAAGGCTTCTTCTCGTTCTTCCACTCCTAGCTCCACTCCAGTGGACCTTAAATCTGCTAGGAGAGGAACGTGACAATCATAAATGGCATTAAGTCTGACTGGGGTCTTCCTACTAAGTGCATCCGCCACAGCATTTGCACGACCAGGATGATACTCAATCATGCAGTCATAGTCACTAAGTAACTCAATCCACCTCCGCTGTCGAAGATTAAGATCTCTCTGAGTAAACAAATACTGAAGACTCTTATGATCTGTGAAGATCTTACATTTCTCACCATAAGATAATGTCTCCAAATCTTCAAAGCCAAGATGATAGCCGCTAACTCTAAATCATGCGTAGGGTAATTCTT